ACTTGGCTTTTCCCAGTGAAGCTCCTTTGCCAGAAGCACATTCAGAGGAGGTCTCTGGGGTCTCCCACGGCCACAGCTGCACCTTCCAGTTGCCCGACGGGGCTGCAAGCCAAGGCCCTCCGGGTGATGCAAAGAGTGGCCTTCCGTTGGGAAGAAATCTCCCCGCAGTGCTCAGCTGCCTGCCTGGACCTGCTCTGCTCCGGTTTCTCTGCCTTTCTTCCTGCCCCACTCCGAAACGCTTTGCTCTCCCAGGCCTAGTGGGAAGGGAAGGGCTGCCTGCCTGTCTGGACAGATCCCATTCAGCTGGGACCTCAGGAGATGCCTTCTTCTCCCGTGATTAGTTGGCCAAGAAGGGGCTTCATGGTTCCTCAAACTTCTTCCCTGGGAGATTGAGTCCCTGTCCCTTCCTCAGCAATCTACTCTGATCAGAAAGTAGGACTTGGTTTTCCTTTAACATGTTTGGAAAAGATGCCACAAAATGTTAAATCACCAGATGCAGGGGGAGAGCCTGGACACTCTGTGTGTGTGCGTGTGTGTGTGTAGGTGGAGGAGGAACCCAAGAGGAGCTTCTCCTCTCAGCCTCAATGGCCAGATGTGTCCCCCGCCAGCGTGCATTTTTCATTCTGCGGGTGCTTCAAAACTCTGATCAGAGCCCGCAGCGTCTCTCTGCCTCTAGTCAATTAGTTTAATTGGGCTCACCAACCTGAGGACCTTACCCAGGACGCGGAGAGGAGGGGGTGCTGTTAAAACCACGAAGCCATCTGAGCAAGGAAGCCCCGTTGCAGGAGAGCCAAGGGGCGGCTGCTTCCTCCGATGGCCATTCCACGCAGCCCTTGACATTCAATTAGGGCTGCTGGCTCCCATAAAACGGACCATTAAATTTGGCCATAAATTCTCTCTGGCTGTGCACCAAGCAACATGCCTTGCTTTGTGGCTGGCACAAGTCAACAGCAGGGCCGCTGGGCAAACGGGCTGGCCAGGCAGGTGGGGTTTTTCTAAGCAAGAGAAAACCAGGGCAAACGTGGGAAACAGCAGGGCTGGTGCAATCCCAGCTCTTGCATAAAGAGACCAGCCTCCCTCACCCGCAGGAATTCTTTGGAGACACAAGCAGAAGTTATAGAGAGGTTACAGAGAAAGAGGCTTCTAAAATTGGAAAGAGAGAGAGAGAGAAAAGGGGCTGGCAAGAAGGAACACTCACAGCTGTCTGCTCAAATGGAAGCTTTTCAGCCCACGAAGGAAAGCAGGTCCCTAATGATTTCTTAGCCATTGGGGAGTTTTTATCTGTCTCCTTTTAATGACCCCTCCCCATCCCAGCCCTGGCTGAGGAACTCTGGGAGTTGAAGTCCACAAGTCTTAAAGTTACCAAAGTTGGAGACCCCTGGGCTAGTATATATTAGTATGTAAAGGCAAAAACGTTAAGGCACTATTGTTACTATCCTACCCTACTGCACTAAAAAGAGACTGAAGTCAACATTTTTCTTTCTTTCCCCCTTTTACCCTACCCTTCTTTCTCTTCCCCCATTTCCCAACTATTTTCATTTTCTCTTGTATTTTATATCTTCATAAACTTAATAAAATTATTAAAAGGAGGCTTCCGATTTTTTCACATTCAAGCCAAGAGGGGGAAAAAAATCAAGTTTTATAGCTGATCCTAAAAGGAAAAAAGCAGCCTCGTTGCTAAACTTAATAGTTACTCTGTACCAAGGACTGAAAATCTCCCAGACAAATTAAGTAGAAGCTTAACAAGCTTAACATTCTTAGGTTTGACCAAAGGCCATTAGCAACTATTATTGGGAAGGAAAGTAACAGGGAAAGCTGATTGTGCCAAGTCCTTTTCCCACTTTGCCACGGTGCCCTTTGGTTTATATGACATTTTGCCACTTTCCAGGGGATCAGGCAGGACAGGCATTGCTCGGGGAGGGGGGGGGTGTTAGAAGATGAAGTTTAGCTTGACTTCACGATCTGTAGCACTAACTGGGGTGGGTGGGATTTGAGGCATTTGAATAAAGTGGTGCCCAAACTCCAGGAAGCAGAGTTCATTATCTACCTTATCAAGTGGTGCCTGAGGTCCACGGAATTGTTCTGTTTTTAAGCTAGAAATAGGGAAATAATTCTGCACTAGGGCAGATAACATGCCTGCAGGAAAAAGCTGCCCCAAGAGGAAGTCAACTCTTACCTGCCTTCATTCCATGGAGGGGATGCCCCAAGTCTCTCAAATCAACCGATGCCCAGCATGCCATAGGAAAGCCTTGCCCTGTGGATGCCCTACCACCATACAGCCAGGCTTTGAAATGCCCTGTAAAGGATCTCCAGGTCTCTTCCTGGAGTAGAGAAGGAGACGACGTCACAGGCCACCAACCCAGCCTTTGGCCATTATAAAGGGAAAACAGGAACCGAAGGATTAAGCTTTGGGGCCTGATTTTCAGAGCTTACCGTGTCACAGGGATCCACTAAACTGGCAAAATATAATAGCTGATTTTTAAAAAAATCAAGACATGATTGTAGCAAACAGCAAGGAAGATTGAAAAAGGTAAGATTGAAATCGTACAAGAGGAGGGGCTGGCCAGAAAAGATGGATTCGGGATCTTTTGCCCCGGGGCAGCCTTGGCAACCCCTGAGGTCGAGCAGGGGGCCCTCCTGCCCAGCCGTGGGGCTCTCCTCTCCCTGGGCCCCACTGGGAAGGGCAGCCCAGCCGGTGTAACTTCTTCCTCGGAGCTAAAAGATGCTCCCTGAGGTTGGGAGGGGCGGCCAAACCTGCCCATCTCCCCAAAGCAAAAGTTTTGCCAAGCCTCAGGCCTGACGGAGAGAACTGGGGCTACTGCCCCAGAAGAAGCCCCGCTCTGGACTGCCAAAGGCTCTGCTCTGTCTGCTTTGCATCCAACCAATGGAGCTGGAGGAAGGCATGAAGTGGAGAGGCTGGAGCCAAGGGGGTTTAGGGTGCCTCCAGAGCTGCATGCTGGGCAGCCCAGCCCACCACCAAGGCAGTAGCAGCCCCGAGGGAGGGCAGGGGAGGCAGGCGCCACTGAGCTGAGGGGGGAGGCTTGTAAGCAACCCCCTGAGCCGGGCAGGGAGAGGCCCACCTCCTGGCAGATGGATCTGGGGCTGAGGCAGGACCTGGTCAGCCTCGGAGTCTGCAGCCTAAGGAGAGTCTCCCAATCTGTAACAACGTGAACTCTATAAAGCTGGTGGAGAAACAGAGGCCCCAGAAGGAAGGCCCTGGAAGCAGCTCGGCAGCCTGTTGGAAACAAGTGTGTGTGTGTGTGTGTGTGTGTGTGTGTGTGTGAGAGAGAGAGAGAGAGAGAGAGAGAGAGAGAGAGAGAGAGAGAGAGAGAGGCACAAATCTTGAATATCCATCAGAGGAGACCTCTGACAGTCCTTCATTCCAAGGGGTTGTGGGTGCTGTTTCTTATATTCTGCAAGGGGGATTGGTCCCTCTTCTTTACACCACACACACACACACAGAGCAGTAAATCTTTGAGATGTTGTAAGCAGCTGCACCGGGACCCCCTCACTTGCATTGCTCCAATCAGCCTTAAAACAGGAAGCCTGGAATGCAGGTGGAAATGGGAGCTCTTTGGAGGGAGACCATCCCTGGCTCTTGGCTGGTGGCAGCTGAGACATGCCTCCCCGTGACTGCTGCTCTCCCCCGGCAGAGGGTCCAGATGGCCAGTCTGGAAACCCCTTGAATGACTTGGTGTCAACTCATAAAGCATCCCTATGTCTGTTTTCAAGTTGCCATAAGCAGGAGGGGGGGGGAACCTACAGCAATTAAAACCAGATGTACATTCCACGCTTATCTTACAAAGATTGTAGCTTAAGCTACCGGATCTACTACCCGTGGAAAATCCTTCATTGGAGACTGTGATTGATGACACCCAGCCCTTGAACATGCTTTGTTGGAGAATCTGATGTATGACACACCCAGGGGGTAGGGGGGAAACAGGAACACGGGTGACCGTAAATTACATGTGGCAGAGTTGGCTTCATACGGGTCAATGTCAACATGTTGCTCCTAATAAATCTTTTGGATTCTTTTGAAGCCTGGTTCTAGGATCAGGATTTAATTAGGGCAATCGCCGGAACCCTGACACTTGGTCTGTCTCTGGCTGCGGAGGCAAGCAAAGGAGAATGAGCAGAACAAGCGACTGGCTGCCAGGGACCTTCTGCTTTGGGAAGGAGCTGCCGGCTACTGTGTGCCAATGAGAAGCCACAGCCCTTCTGAGATGGAGGTGGCAAGGCTGCTGAGGGCAGCAGATGCACAGAAGGACTGGAAACGCAGCTCAGCACTCCTGGCCGTGGCAGGTGGTGGCAGAATTTGGCATACTAGGCAACTGGAGAAGGTGCTCCAGCAACTGGCTGGGCCACACACAGTGCTCCTCGGGAGCTGAGAAAGACAGTTTCTCTCAGCTAAGGCTGAAATACATGCCCACCCTCCCCCGTACCTGTGGGAGGAACGAAAGCAGCCCATTGAACCCCTGCCCTCTTCTCCCAGCAATGCTGGTGTCTGCCAGGTGTCCTTTGGGTGGGACTTATTTCACAGGGAGAGGAGACAAGAGAGACTCTGGGAGAAGCCATAGGCTGGGCCTCAAGTACCCGTAATAGCAGAAATCTGTGCTTTATTCGGGGGGGGGGCAAAACAGCCGGGGGGGGGGGGGGGGGTGGGGGGCCCTCATACAAGGGGGCATCTCTGAGGTTTCATGGAAGGACCGCAGAGCTAGGAAGCATGTGCCCTTAGTGCTTACATAGTGGCCTTTATAAACTCTCTTTCTATACCATTATGAAAAATAAAATCCATCCTTGGGCCTCCCATACCCTGATTGCACCATTGAAAAGTTCCTGAAGGCCTCACCAAGCCAGCAGGATGGCCGTGTACTGCAGTGGCCCCGGCTCGAGGGCTGGACTTTGGCCCGCTGGATGGTCACCCACAGCCAGAACGAAGGCAGACGGCTGGAGAGCTGAAGCGGCTGCTCAGCCTGTCCGCCCTGCCCCCAAGGCCTCTCTCACTCCCACCGGAAGTCTCGCCCCACGGCCTCGTAGAAGCGGATGTTGTAGGGGCGGTAGAAGTCCTGTAGCTGCTCCAGCACATCTGGGTCAATCTGGACGTGAGGCCTGCCTTTGGATTTCCCCAGGCAGCGGGGTGGAGTGCCTCTCCCGGCCTTCTTCAAGCAGGGGAAGCCCTTGGTCTTGTTGAAGAAGAAGTGGCTCTCGGTGATGAGCCGCTTCAGGCCCAGGAAGTCCTGCACTTTGGCCATCTCCTCCGCGGGGTCCGTGATGAGCCGCTCCCCACTGACGAAGTGGATCTGGGAGAGCGGGAAGTACTGGAGCCAGCTCTCCAGGTGCAGCGCATAGAGGCCGATGCGGATGGCGCTCCAGGAAGTGTCCACCAGGCCGAGGCTGCGGTTGCGGAAGGAGAGCCCCTCGAAGGTGGGGATGTCCGGCCTCTTGGAGAGGGTCTGGGTGTAGTCCGAGATGGCTCTGGTGACCGGATTCCTCACCACCACAATCAGCTTCGTGTTCCGGGACATGTTGAAGATCCGCTGGGGAGCTTCCCGGGTGATGTAGTAGCTGGGGGTCTTCTCCATGGTAATCTGGCTGTCCAGGGTGCGGGGCATCAGGTGCCTGCAAAGGAAGGGCCCAAAGAGGTGAGGAACAAGGGGGAGGAGTGACAGGACAGGAGGAATTCCTCCACCGCCACCTCGGCCTCCCAAGGATCTCTGTGAGAAACCCCTTTTGCCTCTTTGCTCTTGCGGAGGTGATTCCCTCCAGCTGAGCATCTCCTCGAAGAGACAATTCTGCATAACCAGGTCACTATATTGTTTGTATTCTGCCGCGATCAATGGCACAGTAGTTAGCACATAAATGGAAAACAATTTTAAAAATCCATAGTAGCCATAAAAACTAAACAACAATCAAACCATCACTTGCAAAAGTAAAATAAATAACTTCAAAGCAGAGACGGCCCATTATGAATCAAACCCTCTCTAGCATCTTTCAAAACACAACCAAGGAATCTGGGATCTTCTAATTCAGGGGTGTCAAACTCGATTTCATTGAGGGCCGCATCAGGATTGTGTTTGACTTCGGGAGGGGGGGAGGAGGGCAGGGGGCACGGCCAAGTCGATGTCACTCATTGAGGCTCCGTTTTCGGCTGTGACGGCCTCCTGCAGCCCTCTGGCCCTCCCGAGCTCCCTTTTCATTGGCAGAGGCACCACAGTCCTTGGCTGTTTCCAGGGTGGGCCCGTGGGCCAGATCCAGCCCCTGGGCCTTGAGTTTGACACCCCCGTTCTCATTGGATTCCTTGACCAGTAAACGTTCCATCCATGATGACCATCTAACTTGTCTTTAAATATCTCCCTCAACGGAAGCCTGTTCCACTGCTGAATAGCTCTAACCACGAAGAAAACTTTTCTGTTACCCAACCAGGATCTGCTTATTTTAAAGCTGTTTTTTTTTTTGCCCCGTCCTCTGGAACTTCCCTGAAAAAGTTGGCCCATCTTCTCCATCAAGTATCTGTCAGATACTTGAAGGCAGCTGCTTCAAGACTGCTCCACACTCTTCTCTTCTCCAGGCTAAACATATCCAGATCTTTAAACAGTCCTGCATAAAAATTTCCTTCTAGCCTCTGGTCATCTTGTTTTCTCTTTGGATATGACCCAGTTTGCTAATATCCTTCCTAAAATTCTGTGTGGGCACAATTATTCCAGGGTGGTTTGTTCAGCTCAGAATAGAATAATAATCCTCTCTTGATGCTGACATTATTCGGTGGTGCCACCTAGAACTGGCATTTGGCACAAGTACGGCTTGTGATCTACCAACTAGAGTGCAAACCACACTTTGGCATAAAATCTGCTAGAATTTCATGCAAGGCACACTATTCCAACGAGGATGGTCACTCTGTCAAGAAAGGATATCAGGTTGGTTCTGCTGAGGGCGAGGGGAGGAGCCTCCCAATTGTACCAACTGACAGCCGGTGGAACTTTGGGACCCAGGGATTTCTCTGCCAGAAGACTTCAAAGAGAGGCTGAATATCTGTGAGAGATGTTTCTCACGCAGGTGATTCTGCATCAAGTGGGGGGTTTGGACTGGATGGCTTCTAGGATTCCCCTGCACTGGTCTGGCCCATAGAGACCCACCAGATGCTGCGGGTAGCAGCCACCATTAAAATGCTGCTCCTGAACCGGAGAGCCAACGCAGACTCCGCCTGGGCTTTCAAATGCTGGGCCATTTCAGCCCCCTCTTGTTTGGAAGAACCAAATCCCTGTTCCCAATCTGTTAGGAAACCACAACGGGGCCCCGGGGCCCTGCACTGCCTCTCTTCTCGGTGCTCCTGGCTGGGGACTCTGCTGGGGGGAACCAGTCTGGGGCGGCTTCCTCCTTCCCTTTTGCAACCAGTAGGGAAATGCCCCCCCCCCCCCTGCTCCTGCCTGTTCGGGGAGGCAGTTGGGAGTGCTTGAAACTGACAATGCAAGGAAACTGGCAAAGGAAGCCCAACCAGCTCCTTATTTTCTGAATGAGGCAATCAGGGGAAAAGGCTAATCTAAAGGAAAGGCTCATTTCAGAATGCTGTTGAAGTGGAACAGCACAGAAATACGGCTTCTCCTTTTCCAATTCAAATGGATCCCTCTGCCCTCCTGCTCTGCCTGGTTAGAGAACCGAGGCTAATGCCAAGTGCCAATGCCAGGAGACCAATGACTGGTGGGAGGCAGCTAATGCTGATTTCAGAGGGGAGGGGCCTTGTACTTCTTAGTGACTCTGGTGGGGGGGGGGAGAGGGGAGAGCAGGTGATTTTGCCTCCAAGGGGACAGGTGACTACATAACAAATGTACATGCCCGACCACTGTGGTTGGCTGGGACTACTTTAAGAAGGAAAATGCTACTTTTACTCAGGCACAACGAGCAGCATGGAAGGTCCCTTCATGCTCTGATTGAAGGCACGAGGAAGCTGGCCCCATTGGGGGGGGGGAATGTGGGCAATGAACACTGAAGGCAAGATGAGCGTGGCTTATGGACTTTGAAGCAGCTTTGCCTCCTGCCCTGAGGCCCAAAGTTTCTGAGCAGAAAGCCCCTTGCCTGGGGTGAAAGAGATTCTCCCTACGATGGCTCAGGCCCCACCTGGGGAAGGGGCTGGAGAGGCCCAGAGGCCCCTCCCATCATCCCACAGTTTGCTCTCTGTTTCAAGGCAAAAGCCGGTGGGTGTATGGGTCCCACGGGAGATCCTGGCCCTGTAGAAAGAGCAATGGGCTAAACAAGACTAGAGGAGGTTTTCCCTTGAAAGAAATATTAGTCCAATGGAATGGCTGAGTGGGGAACTTCAGCAGCAGCAGCAGGCAGTTCCATCCGTGGCTTTTGAAGGAGCCAATCTAGAAGACCACGGGAACCTCCACAGAAGATGCTTTCAAGGTTGGCTCCTGAACTCGCTTCCCACAACCAAGGCCCACCAGCTGGAGCCCTTGCAATAAAAATGCCCCCCATTCTACTGAGCCCCTTCCAGGGCAAGGCTGGTCGCCCAACCCCTCACCTCATGCCTCCTTTGGGCTCCCATGACCCCTGAAGGGAAATCTCAGCTTACGATCAGAACCCACGAGAACATTAGAGATCAACCAGTCCACCCCCACCCCCCCTGTCCTAGCAGAGGAAAGGTTTCCTCTTCAAGATCAGACCAGCTGGAGTGCAGGCTGCCTCTCCTCTCGCTGCCTTCCCTTTGGTGCCAAACGGAGGCGGAGAGGATCTTGGTGCCGTCAGAGCCGCAGCCGGCTTGGAGCCGCGTTCTCAGCATTTTGAGCCAAGACAGGCGAAGGCTGCACGCGCCCTCGGAGGGCTTTGGCGGAGGGCGTAATGCAGGCGTGGAAGCGCCCGGAGTGAGGCAGCCGAGCTCGAACTGGGTGGGGCCGGAATCCACGTCCGGGATTTGGAGACCTCCTTGGCCAACCGCCGCGCCTGGGCCGCCCGGGCTGGGAATCTCACTCCTACCTACCCCGGAGGAAGGCGGGTTCCCCGGGCAACTCTGGGGGTTCAGGTGGGAAGAAGGTAAGTGGGCTTTCGGGGGGGGGGGAGGGGGGGCGGGGGGGCACCAGTCGGAAAAGCAGATTCTCCCCGCCTGCTTAGACGAGGATTCCCGGGGAAGCCGGCCCAGAGCCCGCCGGCCCTTCGGCTCCCTTTCTCAGCCGAGCGGAGCCGTCGAGGCCCCTGCAGGGGCTCCCAGCCTGCCAGCGGAGCTCTCGGGCGCGAAACGTGGGGCGGACGGGGAACAGAAGCGCCGCTCCCCTCCGCCGCCGCCTCAGCCCGCGCGCGGAGGGTCGGCGGGGCGCCTCGGAAAACGCGCGGCGGCCGCCGGTCAAGCAGTCGGGTCGCGGTCGAGCCCGAGGCGCGGAGCAGCGCTGCGAGCATCTGACGCTCCGGCCCCGACAGGGAGCAAAGCGCCGCGCACGGACGGACCGGCGCGACGGGAAGGGGCTGCTGGGCGGCTCTCCACCCCCCCGGTCCCCGCGCTTCGCCCAGCCGCCTCACCTGTACCACTCCAGGCCCCGCTCGTAGTGCCGGTCGAAGAAGTGGGGCTCGGTGCCGAGGGCGCGCACGCCCGGGTGGCCGCGAATGAACTCTAGCACGGCGCGGGTGCCGCCCTTCTTGACGCCCACGATCAGCGCGTGCGGGAGCCGCTTGGCCACGGCCGCCTTGGCCCGGCTGCTCCCGTCTCCCGCCGGCCGGGCCGAGGGGGCGGGCGGGTCCCGGGCCGAGGGCGGCGCGGCGGCGGGGCAGGCGCGCCACTTCTGCAGAAGTTTCTTGCGGGCGGCGGCGGGCAGGGCGGGCGGGCAGCGGGCGGCGGCGGCGGCGGCGGGGGGCGGCTCGGGGGCGCAGCAGAGGAGCAGCAGGCTGTAGCAGAGGCAGGTGCCCGAGAGCGAGAGCAGTGCGCCCAGCAGCAGCGCCCGGCAGCGCCGCAGCCGCCGCCGCCTCCGCCGGCCGAGCGCCATGGCTCCATCGCCGGCGGCGGCCACGGCTCTCCGGCCGGCACCAGCGGCGGGGTCGGGGCGCGCGGGGCCGACGAGCTCGGCGGCCCGCCACTACCGACCCCGCTCCCGCTGCGGCGCCTCTTTAAGGGGCCGCCTGACGTCAGCCGAGCCGGAGCCGCCTCCGCCGCTGCTGGCAGGCTGAGCCCCCGCCCCGAGTGGCCGCGGGGGCAGAGCGCGGGTTCCCGCGGGGCGGTGCTGCCCGCCTGCCCGAGGGCTGCCAGCCGGGGGGCTGCAGGGAGCCTCGGAGCGGAGGGCGACCCGCCCGGGAACGAGCGAGCGAGGAGCCTCTTCTTCGCGGCTGTCGGCGGGGGGCGGCCCCGCTTAACCGGGCGCTGCCTGGGGCAGCTCCGGGTCGGGGGTGGCCGCAATCCCGGCTCCTTCGTCCCTGCGCCGCTGGGTCTCGAGTCGCCCAAATCGTCGGGCTGCTGAGCTCCTCCGACGGCTCCGCTTCCGAGCCCGGCCTAGAGGCGAGGAGGGGCTGCCCGACGCTGGCGCCCCAAGGCCCGGAGTGGGAGCGCTCAAGCTGCTTTCTGCGGGGGCAGCGGAGCAGGGCTGGGAGAGCAGCCACGGCCGGGCCAGGAGCTCGCCAGGCCCCCTCTGGACCGAGAGCCGCCGGTCCCTCTAAGGCAGCCCCACCCCCATTTAACCCGGCACCCAGGGAGGGGCTCCCCGGGTGGGCTTTTCCCCAAGCGGTGCCCTCTGCAGGGAGGTGACCCCAGGCGGAGGGACTCTTCGCTGCCCCGAAGGATCCAGCTGGGGGGGCGTCGCTGTGCCCAACGGAGGAGGACTACCTTGCCAGAAAGGGCGGAGGGGGACTCCCCTGACAGCCTCCCCCCACCCCCGAAGCAAAGTGGGTGGGTCTCAATCTGCCCTGGTTGTGCAAAGGGTCCCTTGTGGAAGGTCAGTTCTGAGCAGGCTCCCCTGGCACGAAGCAGAGCCCAGACAGGGAAGGGGGGGGGGTTGTGGCTGGGTGGGGCAGCAAGAGGGAAGGAAGAGTTGTAATCCTACCAGTTGATTACTGAGGTGGTTTGGGATTAATCCTCTCAGGATGGGCGGAGCTGCTGCATCCCCCCCTCCCTGCTGGCTGTCCAGGGCTGGTCTCATTCCTGCCTCTGCTGCGCTGACACCACCGCTCCATAAATGTCAGTCCTGTTAATTACCTAGGTTTAATTGGGGCAAAGTTTTAATTGCATCACTACGCTGGGCAGAGTTTAATAGATCTACTCATTAGTGACCCAGCTTGCAACCATTATTAGCCTTGTGCAGCTTTGAGAGGATGACTGGGATCTGGAAGGTGGGGGGTGGGGTGGGGTGGATGCCATAAGGGAGACAGCCATTCCTAGCCCCCATCCGTCCCCCCCCCCCATATGGAAAAAAAACTTGTCAGTCTCCTTAACCTCCCCCCCTTCTCCCAGAGGTTATCCCCTTTCACCTTTTTCGAGGGAATGAGCCCGTTTTCAAGCTAAGCACCAAGTTGTAGGGATTTTCTGGTTGCTCCTTGGAGGGGAAAGCAGGGGTGCAGCCTCCCAGCCTGCTAGTTTCCTCTGTGGTTCATTTTCTAAATAAACCAATCTTTGAAAAAACAAATTAAAGAGCTAATGCGATGCAGAAACTGGATATCCCCAGGAGGGGCTCACGGGCACTTTGAATTTACTGGCTGCCACATCTAGTAAATCTCTGCGTAGAGCGGGGCCAAATGGCAAATCCAGAGGAGGGGGAGCTTGGGGGTGGGGCAAAAGTCTTAGCAGGGGGTGCGGTGGTGTGAAGGGGGGGCTGCTCTGGGGGGAGTGTTCCCTCCTCCCTCCCTCCCTCCCAGAAGTAACGTGGGTTGGGGGCTTGAATCCCCCACCAGGAAAGTTTGAGGGTTCTTCTGAAAGGAAGGGAGATGCACAGGCGGAGGTGGGGCTGGCCTTGCAGGGGACCAGCCTCCCTCCCTCCTCCTTGCCTGGCCTTCAGGAGGAGGAGACTGAAAACAGATTCCAAGCCTTTCCGAAGGCAAGCGGTTCATCTGCAAAAGAAGGGAAAATGAAACCAAAGCTCTGAAACTTCCGGCAGGGCCAGTAGAGGTTGTGTGTTCGAATCCTGAAGGCTCTGGCTCAGGCAGGTGGGATGGGAGAGGAAGGAGGGGCTGTGCCGGAATGGAGAGCAAGTGAGAGAGCGCAAGGGCTGGGGGGGGGGGGGCTTTTCAAGGCTGGCCATGGCTGAGGAGCAGTTGTGGGGTAGGTGGGTAGCATTATTGGGGAGATCTGCCCCCCCCTCCATTGTCCTCAGCTGCCCTCTGCGAAGACCCAGTGCCCTGCAGAGGCCTGGCAGAAACACCCCGCCTTGATCGTTAATTTGGTTCCTAATCCCCAACTCCAGCTGCTGCCTAGGGGCTGGAGCAGGTGGCTGGCCAGTGGCTCATCTCCATCCTGGGAAGGGCTCCTGCTGCCCCTCCGGCCCTTTGCACCCACTTGTACTCAGTGACACCAGTAGGAAAATAAAGGGGGCTGCTGGGGAAGATCACAGCCACCACGCTCTGAACTGGGAGGAAATGGGAGAATTCCTGCTTTGGTAATGCAGGGCTGCTGAACTGGGCCAGAAGGCGGAGGGAGCCAGTCGGCGTCCTGCTGGGCTGCGGGGATAGCAACAGCACTAGCCATAGACTACTATGCCGCTTCACAGGGCTTTCCAGCCCTCTCTAAACGGTTTACAGAGTCATCCTATTGCCCCTAACAATTTTGGGTCCTCGTTTTCTCCACATCGGAAGGACGGAAGGCTGAGTCAACCTGGAGCCTGGTGAGATTCGAATTGCCAAATTGCAGGCAGCCGGCAGTCAGCAGAAGTGGCCTGCAGTACAGCACTCTGACCACTGTGCCACCGAGGCTCAATGGCAGGGTCTCCAAACTTGGCAACTTTAAGACTTGTGGACTTCACTGGCTGGCTGGCTGGCTGGAGAATTCTGGGAGTTGAAGTCCACAAGTCTTAAAGTTGCCAAGTTTGGGCTCTATGGGATGGTAGCTGGGGGCTCCTGTCCTGTCCCAGAAGGCCCTCTTCTGGAAATGCCACCTGTTCTGAAGGCGAGATGGGAGATGGGAGGGGGAAGGAGGCAGGCAGGGCAGTGGAGCATTGGAGGAGGGGAGGGGAGACGGAGCCAGGGATCTGAAGAAACGTGTCCTTAAACCTCCCAAGTATCCAGAGCCAGGGAGGAGGAGGAGGAGGAGGATCCTAAGGAAAACCTTTGCACTTGTCTTCACTGACTTCCTTAGCTAATTTATCTAATCTTGGATCACTTCGGCTTTCTTGGGTCCTCTTGTCCCACCCAATTTTATGTCTTCTGCAGATCCGAAAGACAATCCCTCCATTTCTTTCCCCCAAACATGAATGGGAACTTGGACAAGGCCCTGGGACTGGCGTGTACACCCAACCCCACCTGGTGAGGGGCATTTGGCACATCTCCTGCCCCACCCAGGCCTGTCTGTGGAGCGCCCTTGTCTGATCCAGCTCACCTGAGATCATGGCTGCGGAGACCCTGTGGTTGTCTGGAGCACACCTTGCGGTGCCTTCTTCAGACTCTTCCTCTGGAGGCCTTTCCCGCAGCTGCCTACGCTGAAGGTTTCCTGAGCAAATCTTTCTGCCTGGCTTGGAAGGGCTCTCACCCCCTCCAGCGTCCCCCCTCAAGGGAGAGGGACCCCAGCCTCTAGGGACTAGATACTGTCGTACATGGTTAACGTCCTGTCCCTCTCGCCGCCAGGAGAATATTTGGGGTCAGCCAGGAAAGAGGGAGAGGACAGGAAGTTGTCCCAATGCCACAGGCGCCGAAAATCTCACATTTCCCCAAATTACCAAAAAATAATCCAAGGGACTGGTAAAAGAATAAGTGGGAAGAAGCCATTGGAAGAATGACACCTTTCCAGGGCATTGGGAGATTATTCAAAAATAGATCAGGGAAGGGGCCACCAAGCCCAGCAGAGCCCGGGGTGGTGGTGTAGGAGAATCCTAGAGTTGGGGGTGGGGGCTCATGGCAGGGATCCAGGCAGAAGAGCCCTTAGCCTCTGCCTGGCAACCTCCTTGAATGGAGCTCCAGGAAGGACATGGAGAAAGGCACTGAGTAGCACGTGTGGAAGAATGTTGTCCGTGTCTATGGATGCTTGAGTGAAGGATGAAGTGTACACACACACAACACACACGAGAGAGAGAGAGAGAAAGAGAGAGAGAGAGAGAGCTTGGGGTCCCTACAATCCAGGCTGTGCTCAGAACCTTCTTCCGTAACACCCCGTGCAGATGGAGGGAGGAAACGCTCCTCCCCGCCTTCCAAGGGGGAAGGCACCCCCCCCGGGGGGGGGGGCCACATCCCTTCCTGCATTCCCCACATTTCCTGCCACTCACAGATGGCAGGAAAGGTGGGAATGACAGCCAAGAGAGAGCCCTGACCTCTATGTTGTTCCCCCTCTTTTTCAAGAGGCAACTGGACTTTTTCTTTGAAGACATTTCACATCTCATCCAAGAAGCTTCTTCTTCAAATAAAGCACCTTTGAGACATTGAGACATTTAGATTTATCTATATAATATAAAAGCGAAAGGCCCCTCACGCATCATCCCAAAATCTCCAGAACCGTAAAGCCTACAAACTTGAAAATTGCCATGTATGTTCCTCTTGGCTTCTAGGTGCTCACTAAGAAAGGATTTTTCAAAATGACCATCACAGCATTTAGAGTATTTCCTATATTATTATTATTATTATTATTATTATTATTATTATTATTATTATTATTATTATTATTGTTGTTGTTGTTGTTGTTGTTGTTGTTGTTGTTGTTGTTAACACTCTCTGATGCTAAGGAGCTCTACTCCCCCTCTCCACCTGAAAAGAAATCTCTTCCAAAGGCAAAACACAAGCAGAGGAGAGGAGTTTCCGTTTCAGTTTCAGTTTCAGAGCACCAAGCGGCTTTAGTCCAGAACAGTTAAGCCACGCCCAGGCT